AGAGAGAGAGAGAGAGACAGCGTGAGCAGGGGAGGGTCAGAGAGAGAGGGAGTCACAGGCTGAAACAGGCTCCAGGCTCTGAGCTGGCAGTCAGCACAGAGCCGACGCGGGGCTCGAACCCACGAACCGCGAGATCATGACCTAAGCGAAAGTCGGACGCTTAACCGACTAAGCCACCCAGGCGCCCCTAAAATATTTTCATTTAAAAATAAATTTTAACAACATTTCAGGAAAATAGGAAGGTAGGTAAATCTCTGTGCACGTTTGGATATCTTTCTTTCTTTGCTCTGATTCTAAATTCAATCCTTTGTGTATTAACATACACACATGAATGCATCTGAATAGAAATAATGGCTTTTTGTGATCTGCGCTTTTATTACTAACTCCAGAGAATTTTTAGACTCTCTGTCTACAGTTTCTTAAAGCTCAGTATTTAAACAGAACCTTTAACCGTATTTCTACGGAGATGTTCTTCTTCTAATGCATATGCTCAGTCATTGTTGGCTGTGGCTGGTGCCCTAGAGTGGTGACTTCCTTTCTCATCTGCACACTCTCTCTTCACAACAGACGTTCTCTACTTGTACTCTTTGGCACCAGGAAGAAAGATCCATGTAATTTCATGTTGTGGAGAAAGCCTAATGGGCAAGGTATAATTTTGATGAAATGGGCACTCATAATAATTAGTAATAAACTCAATCCAGAATATTTATAATTTAAATATTAAAAATCTTAAACTCACTAGCCTTTTTAAAATCCATATTAATGTGCATGTTTTAGTTACAGAAAAGTATGATATGATAATCAATGATAGACATTCAAGCATTAAAATGTGTAATACTAGAGTAAGATCCTGCAGTCTGATAGAATGAAATGTGAACTTACGGAGGAAAAGGAATGCTAAAAATTTTTTTCAGATGTTAACACTTTTTAGTGTTTCTTTGAAGGATGAGGGAGGATATTAAGTTGCTGTGGTATTTAAGAGTATAGTTAAAAATAATTGAATAAATTTGAGAGTAATGTAACAGCACATAAAATGTCAATTTTTATAATATGTCAGGAGTTAACCTTTTTGCAACTTTTAAGTGAAAAACTATAGATATAAAAGCAAAAATGTGTTGATGGAGTATATTGTTTTTCAACCATTTTGTAGCATGTAAATAAACAAAACTATTCTGAGGCCACTAGGGTAAAAAATATTCATTGCTTATTCTCAACCTACAAAAACAACTCCTTATATGAAAGGGAGGATTTGAGGGGAATAAAAAACTCCAGAGCTAAGGTGTGGGGTCTCCTGGGACTTAGTTTTTCCGTTGCAATTCTTCCCCTTAACAAGGGGGTAGAAAATATTAGAAAAAGGAAGACATAAAAGTAACCCTAATTAAAGAAATAATATATGTGGAAACAATTGTCAAATGTTTGGGACATGGTAGATATTCATTAAATGACAAGCTAAGTAAGACTAAAGTTGCCAATCCCAGTAAGGAGCTGCTAAGAGGTGAAGACCCTACTATTATGAGACGTATATAATTGGGTTTATACCCCCAAGGCAATCTTTATGTTATTTATAGTTTGCCTATATTTACTTAATTAAAAAGGATTCTTCTGTTATTTGTTTAAGGCAGAGATTAACAAACTTCCTCTGCAAAGGGCTAGATAGTAAATATTTTTGGCTTTGTGGGCCATACAGTGTGTGTTGCAACTATGCAACTCTGCCATTGTTGGGGGAAAGAAGACATAGATATTCCATAATCAAATGAGTGTGATTATGTGCCAATCACAGTTTATGAATGGTTATATTTGAGTTTCATATAATTTTTATGTGTTATGAAATATCCTTCTTTTGATTTTTTTTAAACCATCCAAAAGTATAATACCATTGTTAGCTTGCAGGCTGTACAAAAACAGATGGTGGGCCAGTTTTGGCCTGTAAGCAGTAGTTTGCCAAATCCTGATTTAAGGCACAGTGTTTAAGGGTCTTTTATGCTAAAAGAGGTTGTAGTATTGGAAGGATACACAAGAAACTGGCCATTGAAGTTTATTTTGGTAATGGAAATGAGTAACAGAGCCAGAAGGAAGACTTATTTTTCAGTGTACTGTTTAAATTGCTTATCATGTGCTTGCATTACCATTTCAAAAATTAAAGAATTACCTTTTCTTTAAGTCCCTTCAGGAATCATAAACCCAACAAATCTGGTTTGAGCAGACTCTGCCAACTGTTTCCGGGTTCTAGAGGGCTCTCTTGTTAGCTACTCAGGGGCACCCACATAGTGGATCTCCAGCCAGGGCTAGTAAACTCAAATGCTACAGGATTTGGGGAACTGGACTTTCATTTGGGTGAGAGACTGATAAACTATGTCCTTTGTATTAATAGGGGAATCTGATCTTTATCTTGTGCCATTTGTCCAGGAAGAGCATGCCAATTGGCAGAGAATTGGGCAGAAACAATAAATTGGGACAAACAATAAATACAGATCATTTAATTGAGCCAACATTTCTTGAGGGCCTATTAGGTGCCAGGCACTTGAACTAAAGACACCAAATTTATATGAACATGTAGAGGAAAATATAAGAATCCAAAATGAAGATGAGTATACCTGGAAAATATTACAGAACTACCATGTGGTATAAGGAAGCTTGATGAACATGACTGAAGGCTAAAAAAGACAAATGTGAGAAAAACTTAGCACAGAGGGAAATGTAAAGAAAAAGTCGAAGAACTAAAATCTCCCTTTTTTAAAACACTAGAGGAAAAGGGTCTTACATTATTACAGAGTATACATTTGGATTGAATATTAGGGGAAATTCCTGACTTTACATTGTGGGTTCCTGGAAATTATTATTATGGGAAACTGTGGAATTTCCTGTTCCAGAGGAAGAATTCTTTTTATTTTATTTTATTTTATTTTATTTTATTTTATTTTATTTTATTTTATTTTATTTATTTCTAGGAGAGAGAGAGAGACAGCGTGAGCAGGGGAGGGTCAGAGAGAGAGGGAGTCACAGGCTGAAACAGGCTCCAGGCTCTGAGCTGGCGGTCAGCACAGAGCCGACGCGGGGCTCGAACCCACGAACCGCGAGATCATGACCTAAGCAAAAGTCGGACGCTTAACCGACTAAGCTACCCAGGCGCCCCACCAGAGGAAGAATTCTATCTAGAAAAATAGTTGCTTGAATTTTGGGGCAGCTTTTCAATCCATTTATTATACAATATGCAAACACATATACGCAATGATTATACATAATTAATTTATATATTAATATATACACAGTGAATATATACTTAAACAATTCATACACACATATTAAAAGTTGGATTTTCCTAGTCCACAGCTAGCTTGTTAGTATGAATGAGGTCTTATTAATAGCAACAACTCAATTTTTACTGGTTTATTCCTCAGGACCTTGAGCTTTCTGTCAGAGTCCAAGTATTTCAGAAGTGCCTTAGGGTCTGTCTTCTCATGTTTGTTCATGATCAGGTTTGTTCTGGCTGTTTCTTCCATTACTTTTTGTGTCCATGAGTAAGAGTAATGTCCAACCAGCAGTCACACTTCCTATCCTTCTCCATGGGTTATGGTGATACCTAGGGTGCTGCTACTATTTCACAATTGCCCCAGAAAGGCCCTGGTCCTCTTAGGGTCAAAGTTCCACTGTGATATGTGGCAGAATTGCATGAGGGTGAGGGTGGAGTTGAAATTGGTAGTCTCTCCTACGCATTCTGTCGGAAGGATCTACCTCTACTTTATACTTCAATGCTTCTAGATTTCATTTTTATTTATAGTCTTCCCTCTCACCTTGGGTGGCAGAAAGGCCTTTTGAATCCAGTATGGTGTGGCCAAACTGTGCTACATTGAGAATTACACATTTCTCAAATGACTAAGGTTTGCTTTAGGGTGAAGGTTCCTGGCTCCCTCTGACTTTAGGATGGGTTTTCTCCCAACAGACCTCTTGGTTTCCTGGAGAGTAGATTCTGGCAGGGTCATGCCATTGGTTCACCAGATGGACCCAGATTTGTCTGCATTCTCACAGTGGGTATCATTTGTTCCTATAGCAGGAGATTCTCTCTCTTGCCTCTACAGCCACCCCCTCTCTAGTGTCTGCTCATCAAATCAGATATACCATTGTCTTGACCATCTCTAAAAATTGCCATTGAAACCACATCCTTCATCAGCTACTTCCCTATCTTGACACCTTTTCACATCCAAACCTCCCTATTAGAGCAAACTAATCTTAGGCTTCATCACCAGCTTTCATTGACAATCTGTACTCGTTTGTGTATATGTGTAATTTTTTTTAAGTTTGTTTATTTTAAGAAAGAGAGAGCACAAGCATGTATGAGAGCGTGGAGGGGAGAGAGAGAGAAAGAGAGAGAGAGAGAGAGAGAGAGAGAGAAAATCCCAAGCAGGCCTTGCACTGTCAGTGCAGAACCAGATGTGGGGCCCAAGCTAACTAACTGTGAGATCATGACCTGAGCCAAAGTTAGATATCTAACCAACTGAGCCACCTAGGCTCCCCAATGTGTGGCTATTTTTAATGTCTCTATTCTTTATTAAGCTTGATGTCATAGATCATGGACAGTTTTTTCCCCTTTTACCATGTTATCGCCAAAGATCCAGCACAGAGCTTAATGCAAAATAAGTCCTCAGTAAATGTGTTTTGCAAGCATGAGTAAATGAATGAGTGCATCAGCATAGTCTGGTAGACTACCTTACCAGCAGCCTAGTGTATCTGAAACTCACTTCTGCTTAAACTGGAACATTCTGCTGAGTGAAAGAGAAATAAATAGAGACATAAATAGTAGGGACATTCTAATGAAATAAATATTTGTCCAAAAGAAACCCTATATTCTCTTCCTGAATAGCAAATATTTATTTGTAAACAAAATTATTTCTTAGTAGAGACTGGATAAAAAGGTCTAAAAGTCATCCTTAGGAAACAAACTTGGAAAAGATATTCTGATTGAAAAACTTTTCATTACTTGACCTTTCAAATTACCTCTTTAGGAAAGTAGGAGACATATTGGAAGGAAGGAAGGAAGACCTAAAGATACAACTGAAAGTGGACATTGCTTCTTTTGGGTTCTTGGATTCATTCCGGACATTTACCCAGGATGAAACTTCAGACACTTTGGTGAGATTTACCATTATTTTCCCTTTTTTAAAGACCATGGTAGACCCTGAGAGTGAAAATGCAAGCCCCTGAAATTTTCTCTAAAAAGCAAAAATTAAGATCCTGTGAAGATATTTTGTAAATTTTTGATTTGCTGACATAGTGTCTATTCAAGAAAATTCCAGAAGGAAATGGTCTTAAATCAGTTTTGTGTCTTTGGAAATACCTGTTCAACTTAGGAATAAGGTTTAATATTCCTTTAAAGGAATTTAAGTCATTTAAGTGAATTAAATGTGATTTAAGTCATTGATATATCCCATATTTAATCAAAGCCTCTCTATTTGTTTCTGTTTCTTTCTACTTATAAAATAAGTAAAGACATAACCAAAATGTCATCAAATCTTGCCCAAATTTCTCAAGTGCTGAAATTTAAATGAAAACATAATGGTGTTTTCCCAGATCCATTACAGAGTGTCTCTTTTGAAAGCACATATCCTGGGCATTTGTAAGTTCAAATGATGTATAAAAATGATAAATATTGAGAACAGATATATACAGAAAGGCCCTGGCAAGCTACAAGTAGATCCATTTACTATTTTGTGTTTAAGCTTGCCCCCTCACTCCCTCTCTCTTTTAACTAAATGTGTATGCCCCCAGCCCTTCCTCAAACTCTCTGCTATTTATTTGTCTTTCAGGGTTTTCTTTTGAAGACTACCATAACGAAGGGACATGCGAAAGTCGGACGCTTAACTGACTAAGCCACCCAGGCGCCCCTTTAAATAGAACATTTGGATGGGATCAAAAATGAATCTCATCGAACACTCCCACTTACCTGTCATGGATGAATTTTCTCTTTCTGACAATTTATTTGGTAAGTTGTCAAGTTCATTTGAATATAAGTGAAAATAAAGTGCAACCTGGAAATACATGAGAAAAAAAACCTAGATGATGTCCAACAGAACCCAGAAAAATTTTTGTTCTATCTAAGTACTCAATAAACATTAGATAGTATGGAAGGTTAGAGGGAGGTCAGACCTTGGATTTATTAACCCTGATGGTCTTCTTTTTTATAGTTGAGAGCTGCAAGACAGAGCTTTGTAACTTGTCCAAGGCCATGAAGCTAGATAATTAACAGAGCTGGGAGTAGGAAGAGATTCCTGTTCTAGGATTATTCTGATATTATTATAGCATGTACTAGAGTATGAAATCATGCTTCTTATGGTTTAATATTACACCTATAAAAGGCTGAGGTTACTTAGGTTATAGTTCTACAATAAGTTTCCTTTCTACTCTTCTTCCCATGCTGGGGGATATATGGCACAGTGTCATGATTAGTCATTTAAATTGGATTGAGGACAAACTGTACTAAGTTGTTTTCAGTAGATCTGTAACTAGATGATACCATAAAATGATATATTGCTTCACTTTATGCATTTATGAAAAAACTTCTCATAGTTTCACTTGAGAACATCAACAAAGACTCAACAGAGCCAATATTTTGGATGCGGCAGGGAAGCTTTCTGCCATTCTAAAAATAATTCCTTTCTATATAATAGCCCTGCTGGGAGGCTTGGATGCTCCCAGTTTCTTACTCTGCATTAATGTATGGACCATGGACTCCGACAGTGAAAATGTAAACATTTGTAATTCCATAAAATTCAATATTTGAAGGCATGATATCCTTGCCTATTTGGTTGCAGACATCCTTGAAAGATATTAGTTAATAGCTTATACTATTACCTACTAGTCATTAGCATCTTAGTGTGTAATGGTTTAGCAGGTCATTTCCAAGGAGCAGTCATTATTTGTATTACCTATTTACATATTTACTTGCTTCATACAGTATAAGACCATTTAACACAGTGACCATATTTTATTAACCCTAGTATGCACTTGATAAATAAGAATCAAGTAATAAATAATAAAAGGGAAGGAGAAAAGAGGGTAAGGGCAAAAAAGAGATATTTATCAGTAACTCTCAGAGACACCAAAGGCAGCAGTAATTATTTATGAAATGTCAGTTCTGAGACATACTTGCTGCATATTATTTCTTCCATTTGGCTTTTTCATCCTGTGGGTGCATTCAAAGTCAACAGGCCCTAAGCAGGTCCATGTCCAGCTACCTGACCATTTGCTTCTGGTCTACCCTTTTATGAGTCCTAAAAACAACTTGCATAGACATCTTTACAATTTTTGTCCTACTAATCAGAGCTCACAGGATAGTTCAAACTGTAAGTGCATATCATAGGCTAAGGAAAATTCCACTTAAGATTATTTTTTCACTTCATTGAAATTTTATGATTGCATGGTAAGATCTCCAAGAAGGCAGGTTAGATTGAAGGCTGACCTCATCAGTCATGAGGTAAAAAAGATGTGAACAGATAGAGAAAAATTTGTAAAGGTGCTGTCAAGTTAGAAGCATCTGAAAATGATTGCTTGTGGAAGCACTGTGACTCATACTTTCAGTGTTGCTTTCCTTCAGCTCTCCTTTGCTAGACCATGTTCTTATCTTGTTTCCTAACACAGTCATTTAAGATTTCTGAGAATACATAATACAAGATGCATGAGCTGCCAGCAGAGCTGTTATTCCTGGCTGGAACAGTTTCCTCAAATCTTCATCTGGCCTTCTCTCCTGGTAACAAATACCCAGTGTGGCCATGGGCCATGCTTTCCTTTTCTCTATTAAGTTCTAGAGCCATCTCTAAGCATTTTTATCACATCTCTTTTCTCTTGGGGGCTCAGTCTCTCTCTATACAACTTACCTGAGCTAAAGGTACGCCAAAGCAGTGGATGGAGATTTTCATTTTAATTTCCTTATTCTTCCTCCCATCTTATTTTGTCTCCTGATGACACTGATGGATTCTTTGGCCTTCCTGCCTTGAGCTTAGGATACAGAGCACGAAGGAAAAGACTGTGGCCCATGAATGAGTAACCCCAGTGCCCAAGTCACCACTCCTGGATCTTGAGATATGCCAGAGACTCAGAAGCGTTCACACATGGGCTCAACTAGCTGGAGAGTGAAACTTTCTTCCAGTGGTCTGTGTAATGAAAACCAGCTATCACGTTGTTACAACAAAGGAAAGTGAGCTTAATGGTATGGCATATGGATAGCTATCATTTCTTCCACCCAAATATTGAATACCTCCTATATACCAGGCATTGGAATAAAGCAGAGAAAAAGACAGGCAAGATCCAAGTGGAGGGTAGACTCACAATAAACATGCAAATAAATAAGAAAACAAAATAACATCAGATAGTGATAAGTGCTATGAAAACAACAAAACAGGGTGATATCATAGTAACTGGAAGGATGGGACTGCTCTAACTGGTGTGGCCAGGGAAAGCTTCTGGGGAGCTGACAATTGAGCTGAGACTGAAGGACAAGAAACCAAGGAGAACATTCTAGGCAGAGGAAATAGAAAATGCAAAAGCCCAAAATCTGGGATGTACTTTAAAGGCCTTGTCTTTTAATTTTTATTTAGGGCAGTTGAAAGAGCCTAGAGATCTGGCTCTGGATCCTGCATTCTCATTAACCAGCATGAGAATTCTAGAACCGCTGTCTAGTTTTAACATCCACAAATTGCTCCAATTGTGCTAGAAAGTGGTAACCTGGATCAGTGGTACTTATCTGGCATATGACGTGACTTTTAAGGTGGCCTTGGGTATGGTCCTCCTCCCTGCAGTTCACTATAAAGGCCATAATGAAATCCCAACATTAAGACATTGGGAAGGTGCTGGTAATATTATTCAGTAAATACTGAAGAGTATTTACTAATGGGCACTGGGAACACTAATGACCTCTGGAGTAAGAACATTCAGCTTCTTTTTTTTTTTTTTTTTTTGTTTTTAATTTCTGAGAGAGAGAGACAGACAGACAGACAGACAGACAGTGTGAGCAGGGGAGGGCCAGAGAGAAAGGGAGATACAGAATCTGAAACAGGCTCCAGGCTCTGAGCTAGCTGTCAGCACAGAGCCCGACGCGGGACTCAAACCCACAAACCGCGAGATCATGACCTGAGCCGAAGTCGGCCGCTTAACCAACTGAGCCACCCAGGCACCCCAAGAACATTCAGCTTCTTCTAGTAATGGCTATGGACCCCTCACTCTCTGAAGGCTTTGTGTAAGGGGAAGGGGAAGCATCTCCTCATGTATAAATGGTTACCCTGAAGAAAGGAGCCCAAAGCAAGGATTTGTACACAGGCAGTTTATGGAAAGGTGATCCTGGGGTGTAGAAATGAAAGACTGGAGTGATGAGACAGGGACAGAGGAAGACCAACATGAGATGAGTTATGAGGGTCACTGTTGTGGACAAGGGGAATTTGATTCCCCTGGGAGTAGCACAGAGAATTGTCCTCTGAGGGACCAGGGACTGGGGCAGTTACTAACAGTGTTCACCCATGGGGGCATGAACTCCCTGGCACTTCTGGGTTGTGCTTTTACTACGCCCAGTGGAATCAGGCCAAGTGGTCTCCCTCCTATGGTGTTGGAGAAGTTCTGAGCAGAAAGAAAAGAAGATATGCAGCATGCTCCTGAAATGCCAAAGTACAAGGGGAGTCTGAGCTTGTGTGTGGCTTGTGTGAACCACTTGCTGTGGCTACAGCTGAAATGAAGGGTGGGCTTCAGGATGTGACACTGCCACCAGAGGGGTCTGTCACACAGTATTAATGTGATTTCCCCCCAAATCAGTTTAAATATTCAAAGGAAGGGTAAGATTAAAAGGTTGATGGTGCAGATTTGTTCTATAGATTCTGTTTTCTTAAGCTGGTCCTTGTAGAAAAGAAGGAAAGAAGTTTGGACAGAATGGAATTGTAGAGATGAGGCTAGAATCACTTTCTGTGGTCCTTTAATTTATTCTGCTATCACACTTCCCTGACAGATCCAGATGGGAATCTAGCTCACTGGTAACTGAATCCACATATAGGACTCAGAATGGAAAGACATGGTGACCCAAAAGAGATGTCTCCTTTCTTTTGGGACATCCTGCAAGCCAGGAAACTTATCAAAGATTAATTTAGTGGATTGAGAAAGGCTTCTCTGATGAATGAAGAAGGCAGGGTCTTTATGCAATTAGTGCACAATAAAAGGTAATAATGACAAAGTCCACAGCTTCCCACAGTTTGACATGGTGAATAGGTATGTTAAATAAGACCTATGTATTCTTCTAGCAAACTGTGTCTTAAGAACTCAAAAAAATCACAGAATTTCAGATGAATAAAAAAGCATTCTAACAATAGGACTGCATACGCAAAAGAAGGTACTGTCTTATGCTCCACTATCTAATGTTCTCAGTGCAGTTAGTTCTGGATCTTTTGGCTCAGTGATATTGGGAAAAGTTAACTGATTGTGAATGGAAGTAAGCAATGAAATTGAAAGAAATAAAGTCTTAGAGACAATTGAGTTTAGTATAGTTTTCTCTGTAATTTAGTTTTCTCCCTTGTAAATGGGGTTAATAATAACACGCTATGGCTTGTTGGGAGAATTGAATGGCTGTGTTGAAAAGGGTTTTGTAAACCTGAAGGCATCACACAACATAATTAATCCAGAGTTTTCAAGGTGGTTGTTGCTATTTAAATTGTTGAAATGATAAACACCACACTACTCATTAAGGGAAGGAAGTGCTATTTATCTTAAAATTGTTGAATGCAAAGAATCTTCAAGGAGCCAACAAAACCCAACAGTATGGAAATAAATTTCTGGGTGCCCTAAGGAAGGAAAGACATGTTCTATCTCATCTTGGTATTATGGCATTGCTAACAATAGCTAGGAAATTTGTGTTTTTATATTAATTTTTATTATTGTATCTAATAGTCTTTCCAAAGCCCCATTTTAAATGAGGCCCAGCAAGTGATAGGAGGCATATCCCACATAATC